AACGTAACGTGTTGCCGTAACGGTTACAGTGCTCTTTGTTCCTCAAAAAAGTAAAGGCCGATAATCTCACACTTACTAACACCACACTAAATCATTATTTTCGAGCTGTGCAGTAGTCTTTCATGGAAATTACAAGGATTTTTTGAGGCCCAATACCTACAGTATTGCTCGTTGACCGTCCCATTTAGATGAAAATGAGCTTTATACTCATAATAATGATCGCATTATTATGTTTTTCAAAAATTTCGATCATTTTTTTTGCAAAGGCGATTCTTTGAGGGTAGTCCCGCTCATTCAATTGTTGGATCATAATCTTGTAAGGATGAAATCTCGAATCTTTACGAAGAATACGCGTTATTGAGAAACAGCTTATATCCAATTCTGCTGAGTGCCAACGAACAGAACGTCCTGAACTCCTCAAAATGGCTTCTCTCACTTTTTCAATGTTCTCGTACAGTTCTGGCAGGGCCTGATTTCCTTTTCATCAATGAGCCTGTCGTTCGTAATGCATTTACCCATCGTAGTATGCATGGTATTCCGATCTAGAACGTTACCATGACGCCCGATATTGAACCGGCGACGAAACAACCTCTAAATTGCCACAATGGATTCCCCATTTTTGACAAAACTATCATATGCGAATTGTCATAGGCGGTGTTCTAACGTCCACAACATGTTGACTACTAAGAGTGTCATTTCACTTAGCGCTCGCAATGCTCACAACGCTCTTCGTATCGTTCCACTTAACGCTCATATCACTTGAAGTTAGACGCTACAGCGACTAACTTCAAGCGATTTGAATAAACGCTCGCAACGTCCACGCTGAAGAGGTGGGTCAACATGAGCGTTAGGCGATGTGAGCATTGTGAGCGCTAAGTGGAACACACTCTAAACGGCCCAACATGCCATTGTGAACATTAGAACACTGCCTGTTTGCATATGAACATATATTTATATTATTAATATTATTAATTAATATTATTCGTGCATCCGTGAAAATGATCACCATCTCTCAGATGTCATTTTTCGCACTTACCGTATTATAAATAGCATATTTTCACGTATCCAAATCTGTTAATAAATTGTTTTTTGACCCAATATTTGCAGGGTACTGTTTATTTCAAAAACGTTTCCCGTGAATCACCCTGTATATTATCTTAAAATTAAAATAAAAATATTTCAAGCTTTAATTTTTAAAAATTCATAATCCTACTATGATTTTTCGCGAAGTTATCATCAGCAATTTTTATCCAAAAATTTGTCTATATGCTATAATTTTTTTAGCATTGTATAAAATAAGAAATTATATTATTTCAACTAAATGTTTTCATATAAAATTGTATCATCATAGACTTCATTTTGTGCTGCAGTATCGGGCAATGTAAGATGAACCTCGCTAAAGCTATATAAGACGTGCGGTGTCCAATAGTATTACATGTTTAATCGAGCAGTGTCCAAATAAAATGTGCCCTTGTGCAAACAGGTCCGTGCGTAATCAATTCTGTGTGCAATGAGATCACAATTGGATCTATACATAATCAATTACGTGTCAGATTCATGTGCAATCTGCTCTGTATCCAATTATAACGCTATACATATATGTATCCGATCACTATTGTGTTCGATTGAGTTTGCATGCAATAAAGTTCATGTGTGACTGATTGTTAGTTAACTAGCATAATAAAACAGCTCATTTAAAACAAAAAATTATCAACAACTGTATCAAAGTTTACATTGATCTGATTTGCCCTGTGATCCGATTCACCCTGTGATTCGATTCGCTTCGGTCTACCCTATATCCGGGTTCGCGAGAAAATAATTTAAATCGTTTTTCAAGCTGAATAAATTTATATACATCAACTTTATATACAACAACAATTTATACAAGTTTAATAGACTTCTTCTCTTTAAAGAAAAAAAAATTCGTTACATATCAGTCTCTCTTGACAGCTCATGCGTGATTTACCACTCTTTCTTCCTTTGTAAAAATTTCATTAGAAACAGATAGAATGTGTTATTTTAATATGCGTTTTTTACCCTCGCAATTACGGCTAGAGACTGATGAAAAGTGTCGCAGGTTCTAATAAAATGATAAACGCAAAGGTGGTGGAAAAGGCTAACGCTGCTTGCTGTAACTAATTCCTTACGGAACGGAACTCATTAGAATTTATGAGCTACCGTAATTGTGATCTATCTGCATTTATCCATTTCTAATGGAATTTTTACCATGGAATTGTTAGCTATTATCATCTTGCTGTTATCTCTTGGTAATCGGGCATAATAGGTGCCACGGACGCAATAATATTACAAAAAACAGAAAGAACTTTTTTCATCATTTTCGTTCTTTTATATAAATATCATATCAACTACATACTGTCGACTAATTTTGTTATACAGTAATGTCATTTTAATACATTACATACAAGTATGTAAAAAAAGAAGATATAAAAGCGAATTTAAGATCATTTTGTCTTTGCTGGTACGATACAAATCCTTATATATTAAATCTATGAAAACTACAAATAGGTTCAACAGTATTTTTTTTAATTGTTTTAAATAATAATTTAGGTCATATATATTCTTAAAAAAATAAATAAATAATTATATCTTGCATATTTATTATTTTAATAACAAAATAAAAATTATTACATTTGAATCGGATTTTTTCGCGCAAAAATGTCGTATGACGTCATTATTAGCCATCAATAGTTAACCAACGTTGGATTTAATGTCACGCAAAAACTTCCGTTGATACCTTAATGATTGCGTGCGCTTGACTTATATATGTATATTTTTTCTCCATCATGTGGGATTCACCGACAGCGTTTATTTATTATTTTTTAATTTTTTAATTATTGACTGAGTGCGTAATAATTTATAATATG